ATTGGCCGTAAAAACTGGCGGTGAAAACGTCTCTTAAAAAGGGGCTAAACCGGCCACTTGATTGGACGTTCAAAACCACAGCCTCTCGGCCCTCATTTTGAGCCTGTAGCGCGCAAAATCGCATGTCAGCACGCGCATGATCAAGTGGCAGTGAGCTTGGCCGTAAAACTGGCGGTGAAAGCGTCTCTTAAAAGGAGCTAAACCGGCCCCCTAATCGGACGTTCAAAACCACAGCCTCTCAGCCCTCATTTTGAGCCCTTGCTGGCCTGCTTGTTCTTCTCCGACGAGCCATCCTCGTTGGCCTTGATCTCCACCTTGGTCCGGTAGCCGTTATCGTCGAAGACGTGCTCCGCTGCCTCAGCCCGCCAGTTTCCGGCGATGCCCGTTCTGAAGCTCGGCCCGGCTATGACGTCAGCTTCTGCCTGTGCCTCTGGACGGCCGAGGGCCAGTTCAAAATCACCATCCCCCGTGTTCCGGGTCAGACGCCGCGCCTCGGCCAGCGCACCTTTCTCAGCCTGCTCCTTTGACGGGAACGGGTCGCGGATGGTGAAGTCCGGGCCTTCCATGCCGGTGTTGGCGTCTGTGATCTCCCGCTTCCCCGTGTCCTGGTCGATGTAGGCTCCCCGGACCTTGCCATATTGAGGCCGGCCGCGCGGGTCGACGTTCCAACGAACGCAGTCGCCTTTCTCAATCTGGATTGGCGGAATGTCTTTGCCGGAAGCAGCCTTCGCCTCTCCGAGCTTCGCCATTACCAGTTTGTCGCCCATGGGCTTCACCACAGCGCCGTACTGGTCGCCCAGCGTCGTCAGGAAATCGATTTCGGAGGCATCAACACGGGCACGATAAGGGATCTGAATTTCTCGCAGGTCCGCGGAGACCCGGGCCTCCATGCCGTTCCGCTGGGCAATCGTGTCCACGATCTCTCCCAGCGTCTTGTTCTCGAATGCCTCGCGCCCCTTGCCCTTCAGTTTCCGCTTGAGATCGGCGGCAGACGCCTGCAGCACAATCCGCTCCCCGCCATCTGCGCTCCCTTGGATTGAAATCGTCTGGAGCTCATAGATGCCAAGCAGGAACAGGCCGTTCTCCAGATAGCCGCCCCACACCTCAATGCGCGCCTTTTCGCGTGGCAAGTCGATTACGTTACCCGCGTCGTCCAGCGCGGCAGTCAGGGAATCGGCCTTTTGTCCGGCCTCGTCCCGAATGCGGAGATCGATCAGCCGATTGTAGAAGCCGCTCGCGACCTCTTTGCCATCCACCGTGACTTTGAGAGCAGGGGTGAAGCCTCGCTGGCTCAGACTGAGCGCCCACGCCATCAGTCCCAGAGCCTCACCACTGTCCGGGCCTGCTGTTGCACAACACCATCAGCCGGGATGTCGAACTCAGTCCCGACCGGCAGGATGATAGGCAAGGCAGAAAGGCCACGGTTTGCATCAAGGGTCATCTCAACGACGCCCTCCATATTATCCGGCCGTCCCAGCGCCTCCCATATGGCGAGGTCAAGCGGCACTCCCTCTCGCTCGATCCGGATGCGCATCAGAACAGACCTCCGGGCATATCCTCGCCGAACGCTCCGAGTTTCACCGAAAACCCGACACGGCGGCCGACGCCGGTCACGTCGATGAACTCATGCTCAGCGCCAACTTCCAGAATGACCACTGTCCCGAAGACACTGGCGACGAAATCGCCAGCGGCGCGCCCGAGCAACTCGACTGGCTGGCCCGCCGCCTGGGTGCGCTTGAGCGCGAGATACTTATCGTGGCCGCCCCATTCATGGTGGAAATAGAGGCCTTCCACCTCGAACTCATGCTCGCCCATGCCCGTGAACTGCCGGACGGGGCCCTTGCCGAACCGGTGGGTAGCAGGCCAGTTGGCGATGGTGCGCTCCCGGATGCGCTGGATGGAAAGTGGCAGGCTGGCGAAGATATGCGGCCCGATGGCCAGAATCGGGATCATCATTCCACCCCATCATGAAGAGCGCCACTGATGCGCCCACCGCCGGCGCCAGCACCTGCAGCGCCAGACTTCGCGGCAGCGGCCAGTTTGGCCGCAGCGCTTGCAACCCACGGTGTGCCCGCTGTGATGCCGTTGGCAAAGGAGAGAGCGAGGCTGCGGCCCTGTTCAGTGAGGTCGGCTCCAGCCCAGTACCGATTTCGCGCCGTCCACGACGGTCTGCGCCGCAGCCTGAACCTGCCCACCCGCAGCGAGAACGCTTTCGGCGAGCTTGTCGCCAAGCCGTATGGTCAGGCCATGATCGATATCGACGTCGAGGTCGGAATTAACCTTGCGGGCCCAGTTGGAGCCAGCTCGGGAGCCCTTGCGCGCCTTCCCATCCCATGAACCACCGGTTGAGTATCCGCCCCGGTTCAGGCCGAACGCAGTTGTGCCGCCGGAACCGATTGTTCCCGGGTTATTGCCATCAATCGGCTGCCCCCACACGTTCGAGTCGCCGTAGGTCTGGATCGGTGTCACGCTGGGCGCGAGTGTGCGCCTGATCTGACCGTCCAGCTCTGCCAGAGACCGACGCCTTTCGGCCCCATGCGCCCTGAACCGTATGGCCCTCCTGCGGATGTGCGATGGCTCCCTGCTCAGAGCGATCAATTTCCTTCTGCAGCTTCGCTCTCTGATCCTGAAAGGACGTGATCTGCGGATCCGGCGGCAGATTCGTCTCGGCCCACATGGGGCCGAGGCCAGACCCCTGCTTCCTCAGCCGCGCCAGTTCCTCGCGCCTTGCCCGGAGCATTGGGCTGTGCCCGCTGGGGTCGGCCCGCTTTGAGGGCGCGTTCAATGCCTTCGATTTCCTTGTCGAGCTTGAGGCGCTCCTCGTTGCGGCGTCGGTTGCCTTGATTGGCATCACCATGGTTGCGGGTGATGTTCCGCCTGTTGAGCTCGATCTGCTTGTCTTTGATCTTCTGGCTGTGTTCGTAGGCCTTCTGATCGGCGCTCGCCGCAAATCCGTCATCGTTGATGTAGCGCTGGATCTGCTCATCTGTCAGCGTCTGACCCGTTGCGATCCTCTCACCGGCACCCTTGGCTTGTTCACGCTTGCGCATGGCCTCATCAAAGGCGTCCATTGCCCCGATGATCTTGTTCACGCCCTCATTGATGCCAGGGAGCATCCAGCGCCCAAGATTGTCGCCAATCTTGCTCGTCATCGCTTCGAGACGGGCCAGATGGTTTGCTGAAGTCGCAAGCCCGATGTTCAGCGACTTGCCCATTGAGCCGCGCCACTTCGACGGGTCCGCCACGATGGCAAGGTTCTTCTGCACTTCCGGCATCGCCTGCGTCAGGCGGGAGAACTCATCCCACCACTCGCGCCCGAAGATCTTCACCGCCGCGCCAGCCTGATCCGTCGACTTGGTGAAGCGGTTCACGAAATCGAGCATGGTCTTGAGACCATCCGTGCGCATGCCCTTT